TGGATATTTCGGAAAAAGGGGGGCAAGGTCATTGTTCCTCCTCCCCACTCCTCTATTTCTTTCCTTCTACTCTCTTTTCCTCCCATGTCTATTAATCCTATATCTCTCTTCTTTTTGTAAGAGACTCCCCTCCCCATGTGAGAGTTTTATTTTGTTGTCCTTCTTTGTTCATGGTTGTCCACCTCATGTTCTCCCTCAATCGCAACTCCTCTATCATAGCCATGCCTTTGTCTCTCCCCTAGCAGTTGAGTGTTCCAACGACTTCTCCTCCTTCATGCTTGTCCCTATTATCATGATTGATGATTGTGAAAGGACTGCTTAGTTTTAGAAGTTAAGGATCTTTTTTTTTTTTTTTTTTTTTTGGTCTGAACCACGAGGTGGTCCTGGATGGGCTCCAACTATGGATGGCACCTTTAAGCCTTAACCACAACCCAGACTAATCCCCGTTCACACCGGGTCGGCCCGTAAGGAGTAAAGTGCTGGCCAAAGTGGTGACTCCATACGAGAGCAGGGATCGAACCCCTGACCTCTCTTAAGGAATGAGAGTGCCGAACCACTCACACCAACCACCTTGGTTAAGTTAAGGATCTTTTTAGATCCATTGTTTGACCATATGAGTATGTTACGGTTTTGCCCCCATTCTTGTCGATCAGTCTCTAAGTGTCTTCACGAACCCTTGTTGTGGTGATTGTTATGGTGGTGCTGATCTTAGCGGCGGTGGGGACGACTACTGGTTAAAGATGACCTTATTTGATAGGGTTAGGGTTTGAGGTGATATTGGGCTGGTTCAATTTGTTTTGTTTTTAATTATGGGTGGTCAGGATTCGGTTTGGTCAAATTTTCTCCTTGAATTGGAATCAAAATCGGAACTTACACATGGTTTGATTTGGTTCGGTGTTTATAAAAAGTGTCTAGAAGAACTAAACCAAACCAGACCTATGCGGTTTCGATTCGGTTTCAGTCTGATTTCCGGTTGGAAAGATAAAAATTTGAAGATATAAAGAAAAGAGAAACGGATGTGTAGAAAAATATGTACAATGGATAAAATAGGAGAGAAAGAGGTCTAAACAAATATGAAGAGAAATATAAAAAAAATAGGTGGAAAAGAGAGGAAGACAGAAGCACAACAAGAACAAATATAATTCACATAAAAGAAAAATAAATTAGGCTAGAGTAGTTATTTAGTTTGGTATAAATTGGAATTAAGATATTTGGGTATTAATTGAGCTAAAATATATGGATATTACTTGGAGTTACTAATGTTATTTGAATATTAATTAGGTTTATTAACAATTTTGAATATAAATGAATAAGTAAACTTAACATCACCAACCATGTTTGATTTATACCAGTTTTTCCATGACAAGAACTAAGACGAGAACTGATCCAAAGAGGTCCACTTCGGTTTTTATAAGTCTAGGTGGACTTTTTTGGTGAACACGAGTTTTTCCCCTTTTTTTAAGGGCAATGATTTCCCCACTCCTATTTTATCCACTTACACTCCTTTTTTAGTTATAAAAAAGGAGTGTAAGTGGATAAAATAGAAGAAAAATGAGTGGGGAAATCACCACTCTTTTTTAAAACTCGGTTCACCAGTTCAAATGCCTAGCTTTTTAATGATGTTGGGCTTAGGCTGTTATGGTTTTTGGTTATTGGGCCATTTGTAATATTCTATTTCAGAGTAATGAAATTTATCTTGACTAACAGAATAGAAAAGAAAAGTGGTGAAAATTAAAAATTGTGGATGTTGTGAAATTGTTATAAAAGGAGTTCGGTATTTATAGGCAAAATGTGATTAAATTTTGGGTTGTTGAAAAAATGGTCATTGGAAACAATTAAGAACATAAAAATGAAAAATTATCCATTGTACTATAATTTTCTTTTTTTTGAAATTAGAATTAGGCAATTAGTATGAGTCAAAATTAAGACTCACTCTCACCTTAATAATATTTTAATCTTTACAATGTTACAAGAGATTCAAATTCAAGAGTCATTCTATAGTGAGAGCCTTATATATGGCCTTTAGGTGAGGTCATATCTCTTAATCACTGGATCATACTAACCAATTTGATTTAACAATTAACCAATTTAATCTAATAATTAATAAATAGAGTCTCACCTAAGAGCGATTCCACTCATTGCCTCCAACCAGGGCAGGACAAGGCCCAAGACCAAGCGAGCGCTTCCAGCGGGCCAAGCTTATTCGAGCAAGTTGTGGGTTCGGCGTAATCGGGCCAGCCCGTAGGCCAAACCAACCCGACCTTGAGCCTGAAGGTAGCTGATGAAAAAATTTGAATTTCCGTGTGCTGACTCCAGGCTGGCGTTAGCCCTGATGTCCAACAACGGTAACATACCATGTGGTGCGTTCTGGTAGCTTTGATAATTTTTTCCCTCAAATCCAACAGTTGTCCCCCCTTTTTTTTTTTTTGGCTTAAAATATCTGGAAAAAAAATTTGAAAAAATTTGTAAAAATTATCAAAAATATTTTGTAATTTTTTTTCTATAAATACCTACCAATGTTGTTCACTTTCAACACCAAATCCTCATACATTTTCTTCTCATTCTATTATTTTTCATTTTCATTTTTCATTTTTATTCACCATCTTATGGCATCTTCCATCGAAGCCAGAAGGTCCTGGACAAAAAATCGAAGAGGTCAAAGTCTTGGCGACGAGGTAAAAATTTAATTGTCGTTTTATTCAATTTAATGTCATTCTTTTTTATATTTTCTTGCATTTTCAATTTAATTTTTTTAATAGATTATTCAAGGCAAAAAAAAAGAAAAGGAAAACCATTACACATGGCTCCTCAAGTGAACAATGCCCACAATCGGTTCCCTTGGTGTGTTCCGCGTCGGAAATAATGACACTATTATGTCATCTGAAGGAAAATACTCCTCCACGTCGTGATCTGATGGAACCACCTCAGCCAATGATCAAGTCGTCCTTGTACTCGATTGTGTCAGACTATAAGAACCAAGAGTATTTCAATTGTGTGATGAGTGAGTAGGTATTTAATTGTATGATGAGTGAGATGTGAATTTAATAAATATGGACATGTGGCAGCCAAAAATCTTATACAAAAATTTTATCTGAAATTTGAGATATGAATTTTATAATAAATATGGACACATGACAACCGAAAATCTTATTCGAAAATTTAATCGGAAAATCTTGTCTAAAACTTTATCCAAAATATGAGATGAGAATTTTATATAATAAAAAATAACACGTGACAATCGAAAATATTCTCCAAATTAATTGTTTAGGTAAAAAATAATAATAATAATAATAATAAAAGTAAATAGTATTTGCCATTTGCCATGACAATTGGTGGAAACGCACCTTGCTTTTTGTAAGGGCTGCCACTATTCACGTGAATAGTAACAACCATTGCCTCCCCTTGTCATTTGCCATGGCAAATTGGTGGAAGTACTCCAATTGCTATATATAAATATAAGGGCAGCACTATAGAATTCTTGTCAAATTCAACTCCAATGAAAGAGCTTCAAGGCCTATTTGCGCCACTACTCTTCGCGTTTTGGCCACGCCATACAACACCCGCATGGACTCTTTCGTCAATAAAATTATAGGAGTACCCTCAAAACGTCACTTAATAACGAATGCCATTCACCGTCCAATGACATGGCTTGCTCCCATTAGCGGCTTGCATACTTTATCTCTCAACGCTGTTACAGTGAGCACTGCCACCAAAGCAAATGAAGACCTCTCCATACACCACGTGGCGTAATGTCAGAGCCAGGTGGACCCCGCACCGAATCCTTTAAAATCTCCCGAACAGCGCCAAACCCAAAACCCCTCCTCCTTCTCTTGAACCAAAAGAAAGACGAAAAAAGAAAAGAAAAAAAAAGAAAAGAAAAACCCCTCCTTCTATCTCGCTCCCTTCGCTGCGAACGCCTCAGTGATCAGAGGTAAAAATCGCTTCCAGCTTTACCCTAAAATTTGAAAATATCAATCACGATTCTTGTTTCGAGTTTAATTTTGGTTTTTGTGATTTTTTTTTTCAGTTCGATAAAGATTTTATTATCGGTTAATTGATTTTGGAACCTGTTCTCGTGCAATTTTTGATGTTTTTTCTTTGTTACTTTATTTCGAAGTATCATGGCTACTAATGTGGGTTGAACCTAGCCCCTCCTCCAAGGAAGAGCTCCAATGCATATTGGTTTTTGGGTCTTACACGCACTCTTAGTCTCTACTTTGTTCTTTACTATTTTTTGAATTTTTTATTTATATTTTGTTCGGATGTTTTAGGATTTTAGCTGTTTCCGGTGTGCATTTTTCTGTCTTTGGTTGCTGGGTTGGTCAAAATTTTGCTCAAGAGTCCGGGTTTTTTGGGATATTGAAATTCTGAATTAGACTTCACTTCAGTATGATTTATGATATGGCTATTTTTTTAATAGCGTTGAACAATATCTGGGTTAGATTTTCATTGATTTTTTCTTTTTTGAGTTCAATGAGTATGTGTTGTGGGGTTTTTGAGTTTTAATGGGGTGTGTGGCTGGCTAATATCTGTATAATATACTAGTTGAAGGACTTATGAGTGTGCGGTCTATTCGATATTTATTTGATATTTTTGGTGGGTAGATGTAATGTTGTTGATTGATGAATTAAGAGCTTCCATTGGGTTTATGAGCTGCGTACTATCATTTGTTTGGGACTCTATAATGCATTTTGTAGGAGAATGTAGCCTTTGAGGACAAAAATCGTATATATTCAATTCATTGTTTATAAGTATCATATTTGTTCTTGGTAAAATACTTGAACATCTAAATTCCCAGTTAATGAAATATACTGGCATTCTTTGATCCTATCTGCCTAAGTCCCTTTGTTTTCTGGTTTGTTGGCTTGTGTCCATAATGATCAGAAAGTTTCAAGCTCCTCACTTTTGTTTTTTACAAGGCTTTGCAGTCAATTTTTCAAAAATCAATTAATGTATATATATTAATTCACAGTACCTTTTTTTATCTACTACTAAAAAGGTCTTGTTTTCCTGTGTTTTCCTGACTTGATTTTGTTCAGATGGCAAATGACATGTTGAAACATGGAGATGATCCCCCTGGCTATACTTCACCATTACAATGGCTTAAGGAAAGTGAAATCCCTGTTAAAAACGATGAAGTTGCTAACTTCATGGGGACTCTCAACAATCGTAATGCTTCTGGAGTTGATGATATAACCATGCCATGTACCACAACACCGTTCTCTCTTTTTCCTTTTGGAGACATGTATGGAACGACTAACTCTTATGCCATGGAAATGCCGCTGACTGGTATAAATTTAATGACCGATGTCACTCCATTCAGCAACTCTCAGAATCCATTTTTTGACTATGATTCTGTATACGCGGAGGGTCATACACCGGTCCTACCAAGCCCAGTTTCAAATTTTCTTGGTTTGGAAGGGAAAAAAACTGAATTTAGTCAATATCACATCCTTGATTATTCAGTGCCTCCTGATAATGTGGTCAGTGCCACGTCCGATGTCAACATTATTCAAAATTCTTATGTTCACAGGAAATTAGTAACTGCTAAAGGAAATTCAGCAGCAGCCTTAGAAAGTATCCAGCGGAGTGAAGAACTAAATAGTAATACAGGTAGGCCTCAGCTATTAAGAAATTTCATAAGTGATGGAGTTAGCAATACTGTGCCATCCCATGCCATAGATGGTGTAGACATTGCGCTAAATAACAATTTCATGGCAAGTGAAGTTCAAGAGGATTGTCCAGACAAATTTGATGCGAGTCTCCTAACCCTGGGAATTGGCACGAAGACGGAGGATTTATCTAAATCTAATAGATCAGGAATAAATGTCACTAATAATTTTGGAAGGGTTGCCCTTCCTCAACCAAATACTTTCTATGGTCGAAAAGAAGACAGAGGTTCCTTGAATCCTTCCTCTGATGTGGCTGCTGGTTTCCCTTGTCTTCAGAACAATGTGGGTGGATTTGCTGTGATGAAAAACAATGTGGGTAGCTGGATTTCTTTTAACTATAATGTAATAGCATATATGATACTAGTTCTAGTTCTAGTTCTAGGTTCATTCTGAATCCACCTTATGTTGTGCAGATGCCACAAGATGATGACCAACATCATTTTCTTATACCGGGAAACAGGAATGTTTGTCTTGGCGTTGAGGGGAACTGGGATACAAGATCTGCATATATTGATCCTCCTAATGACAGTTTTCAGTACAGCCCTGCTGTATCTTTCATACCAGTTGGTAGCAGCTTAGCTGAGCTCCCTGATTCTGGATGTAGCAGGGCAAATGGGTTGGCATTATCACCTTCTTCGAGTACAAGTACTTGTCTGACTGTATCTGAAACTTCCAGGAACCTCTTTTCTGATTCATCCATGGTTTTTCCTCCTCTTGGTGTTACACGAAGCACTACCCTGCACGATGAGTTCGGTAAGTTTGGAATATTCTTACTCTCCTTTTTTGGATGTATAAGAAAATGAAAATTTCCAGTTGCATGTTTTAGTTTCACTTCTATACGGGTGCCTTGATATTGTTGATGTTCAAGAATGGCCTACAAGACAAAACTGTGAGATGTTGGAGCACTGTTGTGGTGCACACTTGGAATCTCGGGTGATAAAATCAAGGTACCCAAAAGAAGCTTAAGGTTTTGAGGGTCCAAAAGGTTTTTCTATTTTTCATTTTCTTTATGAACTCAAGGATGAGTTTTTATTGGGCAGTGACCACTTTTGCATGTTAGTGCCACATGAGATCCCTTGGCCATTGGAGTAAGTCCTGCATGGAATATCTTTGATTGTTTTCCCTCCACCAAATCTAGAATTTGGCTTTACTCGGTGGAGTGTCACGTCATGGTTAGGTTGCCTACCACCGTGAAGTAAGAGAGTGTCTCTTATTGATTGGAGCTGTCCAGTTTCAGGGGTTGGTGGGATGGATGCCATAGAAGTTTACCAGTAAGGTCATCGAATCTGTTTTGGTCACTACCCCTTGAGGTTGTATAAACTTGCTCTGTATTGATCTACTGTCATTCCACATGTCTGACGAGTGTGGACTCTAGCAAGTATGTTACGGAAGTCACATGGTACATTACTGTGTGCGGGATAACTAATTTATGGTTCTCTTATGCTAGATTGAAACTGTTAGGTGTTAATTGTGATCCATATGAGGCAGGATTCATCATTGTCTGAATGAACACATTTTAAGAATTACAGGCAATGAGAGGACTGTATTGTTATAAAGTTTTCTCTCATCCAAATATCACTTAAGAATTAAGTATAATCATTTCCGTAACAAGGTAATTTGACTTCTATTTTACCATATTGATTGAAAATAAAAGAAATGAATTGTGCGTTTCACACTTGCTCTTTCTTCTGTTCTCTCTTCTCACATATTGGGTCCCCACATAAATAGTCAACATAAGTTCTCAATGTACTTTGAATATCATGTCTTTCATGGCCCTTGACAGGAGGTCCTTTGCATGGCTGGTTACCAGTGTTCTGTTGGTTACTGCAACTTCTATATGTTTATGTCAATTAGTAGATTTACTAAAAGTTCCATTTTCTGTAGCTTCCCTGCTGACTGACTCTGCAACTCTCTTTAGGGAAGCTTTCCACAGCTAACCAGGGTATTGCTGCACAAGTTGCTGAAAGAGGTCATGTTCCAGGGAAATTTTGGTTTAGCCAGCTACCTAGTAAGGCCACCTACCTATATAACTGGCAATGTTTAGTTGTGAATGTATATGTAACCAGTTCATCCTTTTTTTGAGATTCAGGCTGAAAACACAATATCTTTGTGGACTTTAATCATAATAAGATCTTGAGCATTTCTCATAAAAATAATGTCCTGTCACGAATAGGTAGACAGGAGAATTGGCCTAGCTGAATGTAGTAATCAAGTGTGCAGCTATATTATACACTTGCATAGCCATGTTTTTACTGTCACTTGGCTTCATTTTTAGCTGATTGATAAAAAGGGATTGAAGAACAGGGTAGATGGCTAAAATGATGATTGTGCTAGAGTGTAACTTAATATAAATAACTGATAGGTATCATAAATAGGTATTGTGTACAAGATTCTAATATTTAAGCAGAACTCATATTTGTCTAGGACACGACTGGCTGGCACTCAGGTCAACAAACATATAATCTTATGTAATGGAGGGAAGTTTTGTTACACATTTGATGGTTGCTTGCAGGTAATTCTTGTCAACCTCAAGTCATTGGTGCTGTTCAGTCTTCTACAGACCTTTCTAGATCCGTGATGACTGGTAGTTACAATTCTATACTCTTGAGTCTTGACCATGCTTGAATATAGCCACTGAAATTTTATGCGATTCTCTTCATGACTTGCACTACTTTAGGTGAAGAAGTTCCAATTACCAAACTTAATAGGAATGTTCAGGGTTCTAGTGCTTTGGTTGGAACATCTCTTAAGAGGGTTGCAGAAGAACCCCCAGCAGCGGCTTCCCGAGCTCAACGCAAAAAGAGAAGAGCCCAATCTTCTGTTGGTCCATTTGCTCCAAATTTGCCCCTGCTTGTTCCATCACTGCATTTATCCAACGCATCTAATTTGACAGTCCCAGCTCCTACTGCTCCTTCTCTCCCACACCAAGTCAAAAGTACTGCATTACTCCCACCCCTAACCCAGACCAGTCAGTCTCTCCCACTCCAAGCCAAAGGTACTGCATCAATCCAACCCGTATCTGAGAATGCTCCCTCTCTCCCAACCCTAGTTAGACGTACTGCTGTACTCCCACCCTTGTCCCAGATTGCTCCCTCTCTCCCATCCCAAGCCAAAACTATTGCATCACACCAACCCCTACCCAAGACTGCTTCATATCTCAGACTCAAAGGCAGTACTGCGTCACTCCCATCCGTATCCCAGAATGCTCGCTCCCTCTCATCAATGCGCCAAATTGTTCCTCCAGTCCCATCTGAAGCCAAAACCACACACCCACCCCTACCCCAGGCTGCTCCAAATCTCAGATCCAGAGCCGGAAGTATTACGTCACTCCCAACCCTATCCCAGAATGCTCGCTCTCTCACACCCCTGCCCCGAATGGCTCCTCCACTCTCATCCCAACCCTCGAGTGCTCCACCACTCCCACAGAAAATTTGGACTGCTAAACCTTTCCCAGAGAAATCTCAGACAGCTTCACCACTCCATTTGTCTCCCCAGATTGCTCCACCTCTCCCATCCCAGCCCCAGACTGCTTCAACTTTCCATATAAAATGGCAAGGTATAGCTTGATGCTTTTTCCGCATGGACTTCTTTTCTTTAATTTGTCTTATATTTCTCAATACCTACTTATCTTCTATCACCATATTCTTTACTGTTTTAACATGGCTATTTTGACATGTCATGCCATTTCTAGTCCTAGTTTCCACTCAATCCATTGTGGCACATTTCATGGAACATGTCTTGGAAGAATGAGTTGGGTCTAGCCCGGATCCTGTTTGTGAGGCTTGCATGGGCACGTTGGATAATTCTTTGGTTTCAGTTTCTTTTTGTTTTTCCCAAATTATTTTCCCAATGTACTTTCTCAAGCACCTGATCATCCATGAAAAGGATCTTCTGTGCCTCATACCTAATTCTTCCATTTCTCAAGTCAAGTTTAAAATTGTAGAATCATTCCATGGCATGTCTGGCTCCGGCGTGTCTGGTTTGCCAAGGTTGTTTATGCTCAGACGAGCCTTTCCCTCCAAATTTGGATTCTATGTTCAGCAAGGTTATTTCTGAAATAATATGACACTACAACGTATACTTTCAAGTTTGGAAGACTGCGTCTGATACATCTTGCATTTGTATCATGGTGATTTTGATAGTTAGTAATACATTGATAATACTACAATACACTGATGATGGTAGTACGTCTTTGCCTTTTGCAGGTTTTGGTCAAAATCAAACTCAGCCAATTGGGCACAAGTGTTTGATTTGCAAGAGGGATCTTTCCTTCACACCAGAAGGCCCTGTTTTCGTGCCAGCTATTCGACCAGTTGTTGCTGTTCTACCGTGTGGCCACACCTTTCATGACCACTGCTTGAGGCTTATCACCCCTGAAGAGGAAGTTAAAAATCCTCCGTGCATTCCTTGTGCCATCGGTGAGAGTTGAATCTAGGATTGGTTCAACATGTTGAATCCTCCATGCCTTGTGCATTAGTTTTTCAAATATATAATCCGGTTTTTCTCTAAATTCATTTTGAATCAGTCAAAAATAGGGGAAAGGTTTTAGTGAAATTTTAGACATGTTTTTCTACATAGGTTAAGTTCACAAATCTTTTCTTAGGGCTGAGGTGGTGATTTGGTCCATAAATATATAGATCATTAAAAGTTGTACATAGCACACCCATTTCCTTAATATGGATCGTACTTCTGCATGGTATACTTTTGCCATTGTATGAACCTAAAGTTTTCGTCATATCCTGCCACCACAGGGTTCTAGAATTTAAAGTTTTAGGGCCAAGTATTATATCAGCTATCATGCTCCTGCTGTCCTATTGCATTCCCTTCCTCTGCTCATCCTCATGTCACAATTTTTGCATGGTTAGCAGCAAATACTACACTATGACGACAATTTTTGCAATTGATTATGCACACCAGTACCAGTTCACTATAGTATCATTTAAGGGTAAACTATTGTTTTGCCTCATGAACTATCACACTAGTTTCGATTTACCTGGGAGGTGTTTTTTTAGCCAATTGAGGACTTGGACGTCATAAAAATAGCCAATGTCGTCACCCTTATGTCAAGTTTTTCGATTGTTTTCCATAAAAATATTATGTGCTTGGCACGTGAGTCATGTTTTTTTTAAATCTAAAATTACAAATTAAATTAAAATAAAATATAAAATAAAAAAATGTTCAAGGAATGAAAAATAAAAAACCCTCTCAAGCCAGACCTCCCTCCCCCACCCCCGACTAGATCCCCCTTTCTCAAATTTGGACAAAATTTGAAAGTTGGGCATCAGTTCTTACTTAAACATACCTTGAATTTATTGAGTTATTCAATGAAATCCAATCCTATGCTCCAACCGTGACCGTATTCGGTTCAGAACTATAGTTGGCATAAAATAACCAAGTACTTCAAAATGATGAACAAAACGTGGCTGTGAGTTATCCAATCTAATCTGAAATTTTGTACCAGACAAAATTTTTATATTTCAATACCTATTCCTTATCTTGCTTTAATGTTTGACCTAGGAAATGAACTTTATGCAGAAGTTCTTACTGAGACATGTCTATTGCAATTTTCAAACCAACCGATCAAGTGTATGGACATGTCTATTGCAATATTCAAACTAACGGTGCAAATTTGTATCAGGGCGCCCAATTTATCTAAACACCCTTTCTAAAATTTTAAGAATTTTGCAGTTTTCTTTGGACACCCAACACAAACTGAAAATGTTTCAAAATGCCTCTCATTTTCCCAATTCTATAGATTTACCTAAACAACCATTGATTTTACTGTGAAACCCAAAATATTAAAGCAATCTCTACTTCATTTATTTGGACAACCACCTCTTTCTTTAACTCCCCAACATATCTTCAACAACTGCATTCTGTTTACTTTAATATGAAGCAACTCAAAATTTGTTCAGACTAGGCAGTTTTAAAATGTTGACCTCTTAAATCCCATAAAACCACATATGTAATGTGTTTCCTAATTTTATTTTTATTTTTCCTTTTTCTGAAGTTTGGAAGGGGAGGGGGGAAACTCACATATGAGCACCATGAGGACTTGAATCTTTTGAGCAAATTTCTGTATGAGAAAATTCGCGGGTTGATTCCTCAATCTTCTATCTTCCTTCTCTTTCTTCTCCCTTGGTTCCTGTAAAACAAATCTAGGTCAACGGACCACACCCAGGGGTGTTGGTCAAAAGCCCTCCGATGCCTAAATTAGTTCGATTGGATCTTGATAAAAATATTACAATAGCCAAAGTTCATGGAATTTTCTCTCACAGGGAGAGTAGGGTGCCTGGAGCCGTGTGAGGGAGTGTAGAGAGAGAGAGAGAGAGAGAGAGAGAGAGAGAGATTGATTCGGAATTAGAGGAAAAATTAGAATTACCTTGAATACCTTGTGTAGCCATATATTTATAGGCTCCTTGTATGATAGGGTTTTGGGAGAATAATCCTTATTTGGCTAGGATTATTCTTACCCAAAAAGATAATAGATATTAATCCAAGAGATTTTGTGAAAATTGGTTCCTTGATTTAGGGAGATATTTCTCTATTGAATCAAAGATAATTTCCCTAATTAAATAGGATTTAATTAGGGTAATTAGTTGACCTAAGGAATATACCTTCTCCACATGTTATCTTCTTATTCCTTCTCCACATGTCGTACTTTTTTTTTTGGTAGCACTGAAACCAAGACCACGAAGTCTACACCTTGATGCGAGCTAGACTGCGTTGTGAGCTGGTATGGCACTGGCGCTTGCGAGGTCTAGGCTGCTCATATGGCATTTGTCAACCGTTGTCGATGACTGTTGGCTACTCGTATCTAATGCCCTTTTTTTTGCCGCAACTTAGGGTTTTGACATGCTATTTGACTTGCAATTTTCTTCCCTTTTTGCAGTTATTCAACGATCACGTCTTCCAATGAAAGTAGCCGATTACCGAGTTCACAAGTGTCTTTGTACTTGTGGGTGGTTCCAAGGTGTACAAGAAAAGAATTGTGACGAATCTGCACCGTGTCACGACCGATGCTCACTTTCAGAAGTAGCGCGCCACCTATGCTTCTGCCATACTTGATGACATGCATGTCAGGCTGGCAGCGCCTTTAACTAACAATGTACCTCACATGGGTCCGAATGATCTGGATGCCAGGATTATCACATTCCGTCTCTTCTACTTCTCCTTGGGCTTCACATTCCCATTATCGAAGTTCTTCAGGAAGGTGTTTTGTGTCATGGAGTGTGCCCCAAGCCAATATACTCCAAATGTCTACTGAGCGATCATCTGTTTTGATAATCTGAACCACTTTTTTAAACTGGATCTGATGGTGCGATTGTTCTTTTACTTCTTCGAGGTGGGGCGTATTTTGTGGCATGCCTATGTGTTGGAGGTGAGCGAAAGGTGGGAAGGTGAGGTTGGCAATGGTCTATCATACTATATTGATCTGCTTCAATTTTATTTGAATTCTTTGATGTGTGACTAACTAAATTCTGTTTTCTGCTTGTAAAGAATGATATCAACAAGAAACTGGATCTCGAACCAGACATGGCTATGGTCTGCAAGGGCCTGAACATCCCTACAAAGTTTTGCTAATGACGTTGGTTGTTGAGCAAGTATCAGAAGAAGGCTGATGATCTGCCCCCTGCTAAAGATATTGAGAGATGGAAGCAGTTTGGCCCAGACTCGGATGAGTAGTTAGCCGAACGAGTCAGGTCCTCCAAAGATATAGCTGCAACCTTGCAAGCAAGAGATGTGTCTTCGCTAAGAAAGAAGTTGAGACTCTGTTTTGCTGTGATTAAGTTTTCTTCTTCGAGAAGTTTCATTTGTTGCGAAGACTTAGCTGCTCCTCCGTCGTTTGCCAAGGTCAAGCACCTTGTCGGTGTGGATAGCAAAAAGATTGGTGGCATGCAGAATGTTTAGGACATTCTTCTCAAGTCTCCAACTAACAAGCTCAAAACCTGCAATTTACCCTGCAAAGAAGTCTATCCTGAACCAGTTCGCCTGCCAAGAAACAAAGGGCTGCTGACATTCCTCACTGAAGTTCGAGTCGTCTACACTAGTCAAGGAATGAGGATCGAACTAAAAGGACCGCTCTTATATCTAACAATTGCAATCCATTTGCCGAACCACGAGCAATCAAGCACAGAGCTAATTCAGCATCGTTGAATCCTTCGGAGGTAAGGAAGGTTGTAGCTAAAAAGGGTAGAGAGTCGTCTATTGGGGCCAAGGGTTCTTCGGATACGAGAACAGCTGGTCCAAAGGTTGACAAGCCTATCTCCATAGAGGATACATGTGTGTATGATCTACTCAATTAGGATGCTTATTGCGGCCTTCTTGCGTCTCCTTTAGGACACTTTTTAGATGGTAGCTTTTTTGGCGTACGTCGCCCTTAGGATGCTTTTGGCAATTGTCATGCTTCTAGCTCCTTGAGGCTGCTGATCGACCCGGATGACAGGGTATGAAACCAATCATAGGTTGTTCCTCGTAAGGTCATTGCAAACACCTTGCACATCAATTCATCTTGGGCCTTATAGAGAATCATAACACTTTTAAAGTGCTTCAAATGACTCTCGAGATCGGAATCTCCTTGCGCATAACATCTTCGAAATCGCCTCCAATCTTCAAGTATCAAAGTCGATCATTGATGAGTTTTTTGACATCTTTTGTTCACATGGCTTGCAGTTCACGTCAGTGTCCTCCATTATGCAAGCATCGCTGGTTGACCTCATCGTTGTCTTTACTGAGCAAATCTCTTTGACCATCTTCCCTGCACGACGTGTTGGTGGACTGAGCTTGCAAGCGACCTTCTGTAGCTTGTCATCATGAGGTGGCTCATTGGGATCGAGTAGGTGAGCATCTTTCTTCTCGTACTTCATGGAGATTATCACAAGGCTGATCTCCTCGGGGGCCTAGTATCACATGAATACTTCTCTGCGGGCCCAGGAAGGCGTGAACATCAAATCGTGGGCCCAACCTCTCGTACACATTGATCTTTGGACTTAATCTTAATCAGAGACTTGATCTACTTTGAGTGGGGCTCACAAATGCTTGCGACATGCTAACGTGCTAAGCACACTATTGTCTTTTTCCTTGGCTGCTTGCTCTTACTCGACTTGCATGGGACCTCTTGAACTGCATATAGGTGCGTTCGTTCATCCTCCTCTCTTCGTCATGCAGTCTAAGGCTAACGTCTCGGACCAAATCAATCTGGTGGAGAACCTGTCCAACCAAGTTGGTTTGGTAGTATGCTCTTTGAGCCAGTTGGTTAACTCTAAGACTGAGGTCTGCTTAACTTTGTGGATCATGAGGAGAAAATTGTGTAGAGCCCAATTGCACACAGGCTAGGGTTTCGCTAGAGGTGTACACATGAGCGTACGTTGAGCACAGTGGAAAATGAGGGAATGAATGAAGTTGTTCCACAACGGAGCTCAAGTTGGATGCGGCACCAAGATGGTCATGAGCGGCGATCTCGAGGATGGAGCGCGGTGACACAATTGTGGTAGAGGGCATCAAATCTAGCCGTGAGGCTGAGTGGATGGCGGCTGCTCTATCTGGCGACATAGCTATTTGGCTGTAGAGTCATGGCAGCCACGGGACTGTGAGAAGGAGCGGCGGCAACCCTCTGATAGGTGTTCTGGGTCGTGAGGCTAAGTGGAGGAGTGGCGGTGCACATCGCGATCAACTAGGGCTGTGGCAGCAGTTGCGGTGCCGAGAGCCACGACGTTGTGGTGACCTGAGTCTGTCATGGATTG